AGAAGGGTGACCAGCATGTTGAGGGAGGTGATTCTGCCTCTCTACTCCTCTCTCATGAGACCCTATCTGGAATACCGTGCCCAGCTGTGGGACCCCCAACATAGGAAAGACATGGACCTGTTGGATTGGTTCCAGAGGAGGGCCACAAAGATGATCAGAGCACTGGAACACCTCTCCTATGAAGAAAGGCTGAGTTCGGATTGTTCAGCCTGGAGAAGAGAAGGCTCCGGGGACATCTTATTGTCACCTTTCAGTACTTAAAGGGGGCTTATAAGAAAGATGGGGACAATATTTTTAGCAGGGCCTGTTGCAATAGGACAAGGGGTAATGTTTTTAAACTAAAAAAGGGTAGATTTAGTTTAGATATAAGTAAGAATTTTTTTTACCATGAGGGTGGTGAGACACTGAAACAAGCTGCCCGGAGAGGTGGTAGATGCCCCATCCCTGGAAACATTGAAGGTCAGGTTGGATGAGTCTCTGAGCAACCTGAGCTAGTTGAAGGTGTCCCTGCTTATTGCAGGGGGGGTGGTCCTTTAAAGGTCCCTTCCAAACTGTTCTATGATTCAAAATTGCGGTTAATGGCAGAAAGAACAGATTAAATGTCCTTGAAAGGAATGTGTACCGTTTCAGAGGGCTAACTGTGAATGCGCTTAATATAGATATCTGTAATAGCAGAAACCAGTCATGTAGGATTTAATCTGATCTACTTCAAAATAATCCATCCATTTTGTCCATCTTCAGAAAGGACGTGAAATTAAATGTTTTTAAAATGGAACTTTTGCTTATTCTTTGCTCCCCTATCTGTTTTACACTGTCTTGTGTAGTAGGGCAAGCTATCGTAGCCTCTTCCTTTTTGTAGTAACTGCAGGCACCAGTTCCATTTTGTGGCTGCTTCAGAAGCATGTGAAGTTGGACCTTTGCCACTGAAGGCGTACTTTTAGTGTGGCCATCAACATTTGCCTTAATCTCTGGGTTGCAGCTTCTGTACGGCCTTCTTTTTAAAACCAGAACATTTGTTTTTAAGTAAACTTCTACATTTCTTTGGTAAATTGTGTTTTTATCCAAGTCTTCATATTCAAATAATGTCTTTCTCTTTTGTATGTTAAACTTCATTATGGGATTTTCCTCCCTCTCAAAGAAGATGCTTTTGTGGTTAAAGTACAGTACTGGATTTCAGGAAATCAAGAGTTCAGTTTCTGGTTCAACCACAAATTTCCTGTGTGATTGCTTACTATCTCTGCCTTGGTTCCCCGCAGATGTAGTGATGATGTTTTATAAATTTGCAGGTTAGCAGGGCCCATCTTGATCATTTAATCTGATAATCTGCATGACGGAAATTAAAAAAAAAAAAAATTGCTTGCAGAAATTGCAGGGTTTGTTTCTGCTGCAATATCTTGGAAGGTTTAACCAGCCTTGATTTCATACAAGAATCTATTTCCCCTAGTGAAATATTCTCACCATTAAGAGTCTTCAGAGGTAACGTGTTTTTTTCTTCTTGTTTTGAGTTTTAACTAAAAGTTTGCTCTTTTTTCTGAAAAGTAGAAGACTTGGTTAAGTTAGACTAGCTAAGGCGTTTCTTAATAGTTTTCTGTGGCTAAATTTAAAAGGTCCCTTTGTCAGTCAACCTGAGTATTCAACATAGCTCATTCTTTGGGTTAAGGAGGCACTAAATGGTTAGATTCATTGTGTGGGCGTGGATCAACTGTACTGTGTATGTAAAATAGGACCGTATTTTCAGAATACCTTTATTACAAGGCTTTATTCCTATTTGCGTCCAGGGTTAGATGGCCAGGACTAGGTTTCTGCAGCTTAATGCAGTGGCATTTTCTTTTCTAGAAATAGTTTGGAAAATGCTGCTTTGAACTGGGCTTGAGGTGGTCACTTGTTGCATGTGTAGCATAGCATGTCTGTCTTGAGCCAAAAACAGTTGATATGGTACAAACTTTTGCAAAAAGGTTTTCAGGGAAGCTGGCCAGTAGAAGCAGGCTGTGAACCACAAACTGTATACCCTTTTCGTGATGAGTTCTTTAGGCCTCTTATATTCATACTGGATTTTTGTTTTGAACGCTTTTCACTGTTTGGTTTTGGTAGTCATAGCTAACGGTTTTGTTGATATACAAGCACAGTTACTGTTACCTCTTATTTTTGCTTAGTATTTTGCTTCAGCACATATATGTGAATATTAGACTTCTGTTTCAAAAGAAAGTTCCACTGAGAGCTCATGTTCAGCTGGAGTCAACACCCTCCCATGTCTGCTAATGGAAGGCTGATCTGAGCACTCCTTAGTCCTCTTTAGTAATACCTTGGTTTAAAACACAGAAGAAACTGCCCGTGTGTTAATCTTACTGACTTTGCTTTAAGCAGGTTAAGGACTACTTTGCAGCTCTGCCAACAAGAGGAATCATAAGGACAGTATGTTATGACAGGACACAGTGGCAAGCATTGAGGCTCTGACTCCACGCTCTAGGCTTTGCAACTAGCATGTTTGGGTTTTTGTTTTGGTTTGGTTTATTTTTTAAGTAATTTTTTTTCTGAGTTTTTACTGTAATGCAATTAGCAGTCTGCAATTCACTCAAGCTTCATTTGATTGTGTTAAAATGGAAGTTGTTCAGCTAAGTCTATTTCTAGGCAATTAACTTTTTTCATGATTGATCTCTCACTGTCATTATTGATTATTCCACTACATTTTTGTCATCACAAAAGTTGCCTAAAATTATACTTTCTTTCAAATCACTTAACTGCTTATGAAGCTATAGAACAACACAAGGTTGCAAACAGAGTGATCCCTTTGATAGTCAACTAGAAATACCTGTTGAATTTAACAATTTGCTGTGTGTGGGCTTTTCTGTTTTTCCTTACCTCCCCTTTGAAATTCTCATTTATCAGAATGATAAGCAAGACAAAGCCAGATGTCTTACAGAAGTTGTCTGTGTCACCACAATTATTTTCTCAGCCCAAATAATGACCCCATTTAAAGAAGGTGTGGAGGCTGGGAACAGCCTATTTTCTCCAGAAGCGACTGGAGTGATGCTAATTATATACCTGTCTATTATTTTTTTATATGTTAATGACCACAGAGACCTCACTAGCCAATTGTTTCTCAGTATTTCTGGATGGCTAGTTATAACTTTCATTCTCTCACTTGGTTTAATTTTCTTAAATAGCACTTCTTTTCCGACTGTTATTTTATTTTTGGAACACAGTCAGTACTAGGCTGGTAATGTTCTGATGTCTAGTGATACTTCAAAGCATGTCTGCATAGTTCTAATAATTGCTTATTCTGTTCCAAAAATCCTACCTTAGTTCATCTTAAATTTCCTTCAAAATGCAGCTCCATTTACACCTCAACTTAGCCTTGAAAATAGGTACAGAAACAGTATGGTATTCTGCTCTTATTCCACCCTGCACTAATTTCTGTATCATTTCTAACAGTATGTACGTGACTTCTAGGGGCATGTTAAGATACATGGTATATTTTTTTTTCCCTCTGCATTTAGGTAAAGAATTACTTGACTGTGCAGAATATTGGGTGGTTGCTAGAGGTGGCAAAGTAAGGAAAAGGGTATATTGCATCACAATGGAAGATGATAAATCTTATAATAACCCTCAATTTCTCATAGTCTTAAGAAACAGAAGTGGGAGAGGCTACGGAAGTTGTTACTCTATTGTTGCTCCTTCTTCTTTCTCCTTCCCAACAGAATCAACTTGAGCTGAACTACTCTGACAAGTGTTGCCATCAAGATTCATTACACAGTATTCAGACAGACCTGTAAAAGTTCTCTCTCTTGCAAAGATAAAACTTTACTTACATGGTAAAAAAATTGATTCCAGCAGGGAGGTTGACCTGTTCATTTTAGCCCTAATTGCGATGCTTTTCAAGCTTTTTTTCTGTCCTGGACCACTGAAACTTTCAACAAAGGAGTAAAACTTTAATTTTGTGTGAGAAGACAGTACAAAAAGCATATGCACACGTTTGGGATATTTATGTAGCCTTGCTGCTGCAGAGAAGGAATTCCTAATGCAGGGGTTTAAGATGAAAGGACTAATAAAATCTTAAAAAGATGTACTTAAGCCAGACACTCAGGATTCACCTGAAAAGCTTAAGTATGCATCTTTAAATTTTGGTGGTTTTTTGTTTTTTAAATCTCTAAATCTTATTTTCTTTCTGTACCCCTCTGCCCTTCCCCCTTGCCCCATTCTAATTTTCCCCTATCTTATTCTTTCCCATCTTCTAGTTTTCACTCCTCCTAGTTGCTCCCCTGCCCCAGGTTTCCTCTCCCCACTTCTCTGTGTCCCCTTTTGCATTAATCCAGATCCTTGAATTCTGTAAAGAAGCTCTATTTATTAGGTAAGTTTAATAAAAAGTCATCCCTTTTCAGGTTAGTCTGATGAACTGAACTGCAGAATCTGCAGCTTCATACAGTTGAGAGATCAGTAATTTGTTACTCATACTTGGGAATATTTTTCACTATGGTGTTTAGGAAACCACAAATTTTTTTGTTTGAGTAGGTTGTCCCCTCTGTAGGCATATAGGCACTTTAGATATGAATATATATATTAATATATACGATATAATGTATATACACAGTACATCTATATACATACGGATATACAGAGGCACACAGGTTGTCATATGTGTATGTCTTTTAAGTAGCACTGGATTATATGCTGCCAGGAAACTACATTGTTTCTGCACTTCTAGATAAGGCTTTAAATTACCAGCGGTACCGGCTGTGCCTAAATTTAAAGATAATGGGAAATGGTAATAGCAAGCTGCCACTTAAATAAAGAGTTGAAAGTGAAAGGAGGAAGGTAGATTGAGCAAGCGGCTCATGAGAAAGTATTCATCTCCAAAATGCAGCACAGAAAGAAGAAAACTAAACGGAGACCGAATCTTAGACATTCACTCTGTACATTAAGTTTAATGGTTCTATCAACGGCTTCATATGACAGGAAATGATCTGGGCGTTTTGTTCACTTATTCTGGATGCCCTTAGTTTCAGAGAGCAACTGGTAACATGGATTGCACCTCGGAAGGGGACAGCTGAACTCTCCCTCTGGCTTTAGTGAGGAAAGAGCAGCGATGAAATCCGTGGAGTGTGTGCACGTCATCCAACAGAAGGATACCGCCTCCTCTCCCTCTGCCCCCCCTGGTGCTGCTTCAGGCACCGCGGGACTTTTTTCTGTCACATTCCTGTGGCTTGCAATGCTCCTGTCCTCTTGTCTTGCAGCAGTGTCTCTTTACCATGTTATCACCCTGAAAACAGAATTAGAAGCACTGCGCAGCGAGCTGATCTACAGGGTCCAGGCCAGGTCTCTGCTAGACCGGCCATCCGTGTCCCCTGACGAAAATAAAGCGGGTACCCCTGTTTCTTCCTTCCTGAAAGCGTCTGCAGCTGGTGCCAGGCAGGTAAGCTGGACGGGTGGGTTTTGGCTTGCAGGGGATGAAAGTATGTGAGGCTGCTTTCTCTGACTGCTGCTTTTCCCCGTTAGGAGAACAGGCTTCCTCGTCCTGGCCCAGCTGAAAGCTTCCAAAAGGAAATCTGGAATGGGAGCAGAAACAGGGGGAGAAGGTCTATTGTCCACACAGAAGAAACAGGTAAATAGCACCTGGTGGAGTGGGTTGGGATGCTGCAGTTGCATACCGCCTTGAGAAAAGCAGCAGTGCTTGACTCGTATCTTCTCCTGTCAGCCGGTCTGCGCTCCCAAAGCCCATTAAGGTTTTTACAATTATTGCTGAATGAATGGTGTTAACCGTAGGTATGTTCTCTTAATGGTTACCATACTGTTTAAGGTACCAGATGCTTATGTTATCTGCAGGTTGAACTTTGAATGTTAGATCCCAAATCTGCTTCTTGTAAAGGAGGTATTTCTCGATGATGCGGTAGAGTTGAGTAAGGCAACTTTAAATTGTTCGGATTGTAAATTGCTCAGTTCTAAATCCATCAGTCTCAACTCAGAGTAATGCCTAACTTGTTTATCTCTGATCAATAGTAGGGATGGAAAGCTATTATTAAAAATGCCAAGTGATTTTTCTGGGAAAACATGCTTATCCTAAAAGAGAGAAGTAACAAGAAAGCTCCTTAACTTTAGGGAAGTAGAAGTTTTCAAAGAGAAAGGCTGGCTTGTACCTGTCCAAAGAGGCAGACTACAAGGAATTCAGAAGTTTAGCATCATTTCTGCATTAAAACAATCTATTAATATAATCAGCAAAATAAATAAAGGCATGCCTATCCAGTAAGATTTTTTTTTTTCTATCATGGCCTTTTTAAAAGGTGTTGCCAAGAACACTGAAGACTGTGGTCCATAAAAGACCTCTGATGCATATTGTAACATTGGAATATTTGTTTCCTTAGGGAATAAAATGCCTACATTTTTTTCGTTTTCTCTTTCCAAACACAATGGTGCCTGATAGGATGAAATACAGAATTTTGTGATAACGATTTGCATACATACTCTAACTAAAAATGTTTCTGAGTTACTATATCAGCTCAATCCTCTTACAGATACTTTTAGATTGTTTTAACTGATGAAAGCTGATATCTTAAATTATTAATAGATGAAGTTGAAATGGAGTAATTTGCAGTAAAGAATAAATCAAACTTTGCTTAAAATGTGCTTTTTAGTGACTAATTAACGTGAATTGTATTTCACTTAAGCTTCAGCAAGCTAAATGAAATTTAAGTTCTAGAGTATAATCACTCTACTTATCTCCAGCATTCTCAAAAGAAAATATTCATTTAGGACATCACCCAAAATCCATAGGTTTAAATGAGATTTATTCTATTTCATTAGTAATCTTTGGTTCAGGGTCTTGGCTAAGAGTGATTTCACAAACAAGGCTGAGGACAAGATTGCTTAAATTGTGTTTCTTGTATCCTGTTTCCTACCACGGGAAACACAGAGTTTCCCTGCTCTCCCCACCCTAGCGTCTCCCCAATAAAAACTAGTGGTCTAAAGCACAAGTATCATCAAAAATAAGGAGGCATTTTTTCTTTTAAATGAATGTTATAGCATCAGTACTCTGCAAGTTAACCAGTTCCCTTTACGGTAGCTTTCATCTTTATTCTTATTGCTATTTGAGGGTGTGGGTGTATGGGGGAGAGGAGGGGTTTGGGCTCCTCATTTGTGCTTCTGGCAGACTTAAGATTCTTTTCATCAGGTAGCTGTCTCTGATTATACCTATTCACCTTTATTGACATAAAATTCCAATTAAGCTACTTATTTCTGTGAGCTTTTTTTTAAAAAAAATACAACGGGCTTTAAAATTGTTTAGGATGCATGACAGAAAGCAGAGAATATGAGCATTCATTTAAAAGGGAAGAGCTACATAGGTTGGCCTACTACAAAACTGTTTTCTAACACGACCATCGTATTTTTGTATACAAAAAAGAAAAAAAGTAAATTACAAATCTTGCATTTATATAAAAGGCCATCTGTTAGACAGGGTTACCTTTCTGCCTGCTCTAATTACAATAACTTAAGCTTGTCAGAGTGCAGTAAGAGGTTACGTTTTCTTAGATCAGATTTCATTGATGACCATGAACATACTAGTCCATATTACATTTTGCTTTAGCAGAGTGAGTGAAACTAGAACATGGTGTTGTTCATGGTGCTGAATCCTGTCTGTTACTTGGTCATGTACACAAAATTACTGGCCCTGTGTTTTGATCTTCTTACATCCATTTCTGGGTACCAGAGTCCCAGCAGCCTTCAAATCGTCTTGCAGATGCACTGCACTCATTCTGGTAGAATGGCAGAAAAATTAGGGTATTGAGTGAGGTTCTTTGTTCTTGTCCTATTTCTGTTTGCTTCAACAAGGTCTCAGAGTAGAGTCACAGAATCACAGAATTACAGAATGGTCAGGGTTGGAAGGGACCTCTGGAGATCATCTAATCCAACCCCAGTCTCATACTTAATTGTTGACCCATAATTTCATTTTAACATGGACCAATTCCTTAGAAAGTGAATGTCACTGATATACAATTGCTTGTCTTGTGCTTCGTCAGAGGGCAGAAGTAAAATATAAAACCATTATTTTGTTTATAAATAAAGTTGTCACTTGATTCTGTTTTCTTTCTAAACTCTAGTTATTAAATTCCAGAAGTGAATGCCCCGTGATTCTTTTTAGGCGCAGCACAGCCCTTCTTGAACATACAGATTTCCATTTTAACGTGTTTTTTTTTTTCCTATTTGTTTGATGCTGTGTGCATAAAAGCGGCCACAAATTAGAGTTTTAATTAAAATGACAATTGAAGGAAAATGTATCTAACACAATGTTGTTCTTTCATATTGTTATGTGGTATGCATTTGTCTGTGTTCATGTGTAAAACTATTAGTCATCACTAGTTGTACATTTTATGTCTTGAGAAAATTTCCAGCTCAAGTAGGTTGAAGAGATGGGTTTCAAGCATCAATTCCAAATAAAGCTGTACAGTTAGCAGTCAGAACCGGAGTTCTTGATACAATGAGTAGGAGTTAATGGGTGATTTTGAAAGGTACATATTATTAATATACAGGCAAAGGGATCATCTAACCACTTCTGGCAAATGTCATATCAGGACACATAAGAACAGATATTATTTTTCTTATTTGGCTTTCTTTTTATAAATTTTGTCTGTAGAGGAAAATTGCTACAGAACAAAAACATCTCCTGAATTTTATACCCTGTTCACAATTATTGATTGCCTTGCCTGCACGTTTTTCTTGAAGCTCTATGTGTGCTTGAGTCCGGGAACAAGATATAGGTTCCGTTACCTAAGCCAAATCAATGTATGAATGTCAAGTTTCATTTACATGCTGTCTCTCTGCCTCATTCTGATCATTATTGTGGGATTCTGATTCCTGCAGGTGAAAAGGTAAATGAGCATCAGGTCCTTCTGTAAACTCAAATTCAGGCGACATTCTGCTGTGATCAGGTTGGAGCACCTGTGGACTATATTTATTTTGGTGTATTGAGGTTATCCATCTCAACCAGTCTGATTGCATGTATGGAAGGCACTGAGGAGAAATTCTAAGTAATTACACAAAGCAGTAAGGCAGGTTAACCTGGCATGTGACCTGGCAATTCTTTTTTGCTAATGCTTCCCACATTCTACCCCAATATCAGTTGTGTGAAATGACTATGGCCGTGCAAGCGTGGTCTATAAGTTGTGAGGATTTTGCCATTGTTCTTGATATAATTGCCTTACTCGCATATCAGTACATTTGCTTTGGCAAATTGGTGCAGTTGTTGGTTAGAAGTGTTTTGACCCTGTATCTTGTTGGTTTAGAACTCTGTGACAGAGGGATAGCAAGAACACGTGGAACTTGACTTTAGCAATCTCTGAGTCAAGAACCCTGACCTTTTGTTACTAGCCTAAACAAATGCCACATATAAAATTCCCTTACCAAATATTCAAAATACTTCATATTTTATTTTTTGAAGAGGGGAAATATGAGTTCTCTTAATTAAAAAAAAAAAAGAAAGGCCTACTTCTTGGAAAGATATGTTATTCTTTTTTGTTTCTGCTGACAACAGTCTAACTCAAAAGGAAGTAGGCCCTTCTATGCGAAAGGAAAGAAAATGACTTGATATAATGCCTGCAATTTTACATGAAGAATTCCACTTACTGAATGAATGAATCACTGCTGTGTGTTATGCAGAACACTGTGCAATCAAAAATGCACGAAATAGGTTCTAATTTTTAAAAACAATATTCTGCTTTATACTGTATAGTAGGAGTCTACATAAAGCATTCTTAATTCTTAGTAAATAATTTCCTTATTATTCTGATTGTAACATGTTACCAGTAATTCTGTTAAGGTCAAAATAATGCTACCAATACTTTGTAAGACCTGAGTCACGTCTGTAATTATGTAATTATGGTTGGACACGATGATCTTAAAGGTCCCTTCCAACCTAGACAATCCTATGATTCCTATGAATTATGACCAAGCCATTTCACTGCAGGGACTGATTTAATCCATGATTAATGCCATATAAAGACTTCCTAATTAAAAAGCACCAAATTAACCTGGCTATAATAATGCACAAGCAAAAAGTAAAAGAAGATCTCTTGTGATAAGAAATGCAGAAGTTAAAGGAAGAACAGCAAATTGTTCAAAAACATGCATATAATTTATAAATCAAATTATCTAGTGTTTAAGTATGTTTTGGGAAGTCTACAGAGAACAGATCTAGACCAAAGAAGGAACCTAAACAAGCAGATCTGTTTTTTAAAGTTCAGGGTTTTCACTTGTTTTTATTTCAGCAAAAATTGAGATAGATGTCTCAGGCCTCAGATATCAAAACTTAGGAATTTATGCATGAGTTCACAGATAAAAAACTTGAAATTTTATTTGGAAGCATTATAAAGTTAGATTGCAAAATATCAAAATGATTATGCAAGTTAAACAATAAAAAAACCTGTGTGGGGGAGCAAATTTGATTTGACCAATTTCAGGTCTTAAATCATGCAGATATGCAGAAGGCTGTCTTCCTATCCTGCTGCAAAAGCTAGCTTTTTTAAGAAAATTGTGGTTACATTGCTCAACCAGTGGAGAACACATCCCTTCATGTGCTGGCTGTGGTTTATAAAGGCATCTGGAGTCACTAACTTCTTCAGAATTGGCTGTTCTGTTCATGGAAGAAGACAGACTCTGAAACGTTCTTCTCCCCACCCATACCCCGCAGAGTGGTTAAAATCAGAAAAAAAAAAAATGCTTATCAAAGCAAAGATTTTATATGAAGTTACAAGAGGGTGGGGTGCACTTTATTGTTCTAGATACACTCTGTTTTATACAGCTAGACCTCATGGTGACACTCAGTCTAGATATTTTTGCCCATTGTTAAGATGTATTTTATGAATCCTGTATTCTGTTTGCATTATTATTTACTCAAAAATCCTTTACACTACAAAGCTGATGCTCAGGTTTGATTTCCACTGGGCTAAAGGGCATTCAGGTAGAGCTTTTGATTTATTCTGCTCGGTACTGATAGCAACTATTCAACCCATATTTTGTAATGCGTATATTTTTTATATTGTATTTCAGGTAAGATTTGGGTCCTTCTTGGAATAGAATTGCTAACATTTCTTAATAACATTATCTTTTTACTGAAAATCCCTGTAAATTTACCCAGAAGATAGACTCTGTATAGCCATATCTTCTCCTTAATAGTAGTGTTGTTTACCTTGAATTTGTTTCAATGAATTACTTAATTTTAAGCATGTATGTAGTTCCACTGAGGTCAAAGTGAAGTACTTGTATATACTGGAAATAGTTATGTGTCAGCCTTGGCTTCTGAACATTTTTTTGAAGCATGTTGTTCAATCCCTCAAATCCTTTTTTTAGATGTTATTTGTCCTTGTGGCTTTAGGTAAAAAGGCCACTGTGCTAGTTCCTGTTCTCTTTATTGTTATGAATGAGACTGTTCTATCCATGTTTCTCTGTGAAAAAAAAAAGCTTACTATATTCTGTGGAGCCTTACTTCTATCTGCATACACTAAAAAAAGAGACAGTAAGATTTTTTTAGAGAATATATGTAGATTTGATATCTGTAGAATAAAGCAGAGTTGGTATGTATTTTAAAAAGATGGAAAAGGTCTTGGACTGTACTGAATTTGCTGATTTTGATTACTGTGTAGCAGTTGTCAGCAATGATGACTAGTTTTTCACTGCTTCAATTGAAACATAAATCCAGACTTGCAAACTGTGAATCAGGATAGTTTCAAGAATGTCAATCAAGTTTGCAGAGCAGGTTTAACAAGAGTTGCTAAAGTAGCCATAAATTTCACTGTTTGTGGATGCTGCTCATTGGTACGCAGCTGGATAGCAGCTGGTTAGTGTGAATCATAACAAATCCTTTCTTGTTTGGTTAGTGGAAAATCCAGTGGCCACACTAGCGAGTTCTCTTAAAAGCAGGAATGAAAAATTTTCTTTAGCTTACTTAAATACCAGGGAATCATCAAATTCCATTTACCAGGAAAGCACTTTGCTCTAAAGGACAGTGAACTAATACCTTGTGAAATAAATTACCTGATGTGCTTTATTGTGGGACCACAGAAAAGCACATTTTGATTTCATTTGGAAGCTTCTTTTTCAGAAAATCGCTTGCAAGTGTGATAGAAAAATGACTGAAGTATAATACCTTTTTTGATTTTGTGTTGGCTTGTTTATTTCTATTCCTTATCAGAAGGCAGGGAATTCAGGTGCCTTTAAATTCATGGTTTAAAAAGCTATAGATTTTTGGCACATTATTGATGAGCATTGATAGAACTCAAGGACATGTTCCAGTGTAGGACAGCATTTCCATTAACATAAGTAGAGCTCACATGTCGTGTGATCATTGTGACATTGGAGTGTTCCCAGACGTGCTCTTGAATCTTTGCCCATGGCCAGTTGGCACCACCAAGAACTGGTGAGCATCCAGCCCCCTTCTGGTACTTTCAGGCAGGCCCCCTTGGAAAGGAGACTTAGATACAGAGAGAGGCTGCTTTCTGCTCAAATCTTCTCACTACCTGCTGTGTGGTGGGAGGTTTGTGGTGCTGGGCACTTGGTTGCACATGTGAATACCAGTGGCAGATGTAAAAACAGGATCCCATGGAGTAGGGCACCTCCCACTATAGGAAGAGTAGCCAAATCTGACCCACAGCCTTCTTACCTGAAAAGAGGTAAACAAAAATGGAGATTCAGCAATCCACGGCAGGATTTTCTTCTCTTGACTCTTAGTAAATTCCTTTGGTTTCTGTCAAGTGCAGTAAATGTTACTACTCTCTTTTGCAACCTTCAAAGTAGCACTAGAAGCAGATGTTTTCGTTAAAATCTGCTCTAAGCAAATGCAACTATCCTTCTTTTCTTTCATCCTGTTCCCTGACACTTATGCTTAGGCAGATTTTTTTTAAAAATCTTTGTTTCACTTGCGAGCCTACATTTTAACATACCACAATATATTTTCGCTGATCAAACTCCTAGTTTCTCATTAGTGTCACCATTCTCTACAGTTTTGAGTAACGGACCAGTTCTGACAGATGCTAAACTATTTGTTATGTGTGCATTAATTTGCTAACACTCATCTCTGTATCTTCCCTCTTAGTCTCAGTATAGGTTGATTGAGTGTGGGTATCTGAAAACATATTGAAAGTACATATATATGGATTTTGAGAATTTATTTTGAAAGTACCATGTAACCAGTATGTGTGACTAATATTTTACAGCAACTATGACTGGAAACTAATTTCTTTAAATAATATAGTAAATATCATTTGAAAATCTGATATCTGTCGTAGCTGGAAGGATTGAGCTTTTGCTTAGAAAATTAACAAGGCTAACTGATCTGATGATTCCTAGCTCGTTTGACTTACTGCTACATTTTTCAATTCTATTATGACCAGAGATTAAAACAAGCAAGTATTACTTGTGCTACTATCTGAGGCCTCCTGCTTGGCTGCATGATCACTGAAAGTTATCTGGTATGTGTTGCAGTGTGAATTTTGTTTTGGCAAGTTTGAGTAAGATCTGTGTCAAAATCAATAGACTATGTTTTCAAATAAGTGGTGAGACCAAGAGAAGATTTTTTTTTCATGTCCTTTTTTTTTTTTAAAAGTAGTTTCAAAAGCATACTCTATTCTGTTACTAATTTATATTTCTTTGGTTTCAAAATGCTTTCACTTTGCAGTTCTGCAGGCCTGCTTGCAACTGATTGCTGACAGCAAAAGTGATATCCAACAGAAAGGTAAGAATACGTTCCATGATTTATAGCTAACAATTCTATGTATTAACTCTTCCATCAAATTTGTCTCACTTCAAGGCAGTGACTGAGTTATATTGCTGAATTTAAAAAAAAAAAAAAAAAAAAAAAGAGGCCCCTGCATCTGGACAGCTTTTGCGAATATCCTCTTTTTAGTGGGGAAATCCAGATAGTGAGACTGCAAGTCTTGACTTGAAGTCAGCTTTGTTAACTTTTTTTGGCTGATGACAATGAAGAAAATAACTTTTATTTCTGATTACCTGAAAATGATTGTTTCTTTCAGATGATTCAAGCATTGTCCCTTGGCTTCTGAGCTTTAAACGTGGAACAGCTCTGGAAGAACAAGGAAATAAAATAGTGATCAAAGAAACAGGATATTTTTTCATATATGGTCAGGTGAGAAAGCTCAGTTCTCTTTAGCATCTGACTTCTTTAAGTATTTTTAATGTCTCCATACAATATGTTTGAAGTCTCCATCCCTTCATTCTGTAGGTTTTATATACAGATACAACATTTGCTATGGGACACCTAATACAGAGGAAGAAGGCCCACGTGTTTGGTGATGATCTCAGCTTGGTGACATTGTTCCGTTGCATCCAAAATATGCCACAGTCTTATCCGAATAATTCTTGCTATACTGCTGGTAAAAATCTAAGTTTTCCTTTTCTTTGTTTGCAAATAAACTGTATCAAATAGCGTCTGTAGTGTTGGGCAATTAAGTATTCTGGCAGTTGTAAAGAAACTGGACTACATTCATGGATCTGGTTAATTGAAAAATTACAGAACACTTTCAAAAAAAACACAGTTTTATATAAAGTATTGGCAGTTGGAGTGTATACATCTAATTTAGGTTATCTGAACAATTGTTCTCTCTCCATTGACTATACAATGTGGTTAGATACTTCCGTGCTTTTAGTTAGATGCTGGAAGCAGAAAAAAGGAGTACATACTGACCTTATTGCAGAACTCAGTTTAATTTAGGGGTTCGATTCCACATTTAGTTATCCCGATAAAATATTTAGAAGTTATGTTCTGCTTTAAAACATCATACATGAATTTTAGCCACCCAATTTTTGCATACCTTACTGTGGGATTTCCAAAGATATTTCTTATCAGCTTAATTCTCTACTCCTTATAATAGCTACTGCGGTTTTAGTCTTTGGTTACATGAACAATAGTTTATTCCTATCAGGAGCTCTTTCTGACTGTGCAAACACCACAAGAAAGTCCAATTAAAATATTTAATGCAAGTCCAGCAAGATCAATGTATACAGATGTATATTCCTGCAGTAGCATTTAAGGAATTGTCAAAGCCTATTAAACCTCATTTGGTGGCTCTTATCTGTCTGTCTTTCCCCCTTAATGGTGGATTTGAGGGTTTTCTCTTTTGTTGTTTTCCAGCAAGATCTGTGTGAATTTTTCAATACCTTATAAAAAAGTGTGTGATACTGACTAATAGAGTTGACTGTTGGGAAGTAATGGAATTAAACAAATGAGATGGGGAAGGAAACTTTTTTTTTTTCCCAAATAAAAATAAATTAGCTACTTCCTCCTGGCAATTGAGGCTGTCCAAACATTTTCTTTAGCTTTCTGCCCCTCCACCCACACATTGTTGCACCATAACCACCTTCAATTTCATCTTTCCTCTTATTTCACCTTTGTATTACTCCCCTCCCTTTCTTAACTAGAATTTCTACTCCATCTAGCCACTTCACGGTTCCTGCTTCCCAAATTCCAACCCTTCTGCTTTCACCTGGAAAACCGAATCTCACAGCAATATCTCACGCTATTGAACATGCGTCACAGCAGAGGTTAGATGTGCTCTCAACTGAGTGACTGGAAGTTGAAGGCGAGGTGCTTTCGGTTATCCCGTCAGCTGATGTGCGGCTGGCAGGAAGCAGACTTTTGCGCTCTGCAGTCGCAGTGGATCAGCTGATGTCTGGTAACTTCATTTGGTTGGTAAAGCTCATGAGACCTCCTCCAGAAGTGTGGGAACAGAGTGGTCTAGGACCAGAAATACCCAACGCTGACCTTGGCTGTCACATCACCATAACACGAGGAATCTGGGTACACCACTGTTACAAGTTTTTGCAGCGTTTGTTTAAGTGAACTGCAATATGCTGAGTGCAGAGTGGAAATTAGGTCCAGCTCCACGGAGGACTTTAAGTGTCAGCTTTGGGTAGGCTGCAGTTTGTAAGATTGTGCCTAAAGATAAAAAAGTGCTCCTCACAAGTAACAAGCCGTGCTCATATTTGTAAGATGATGTGTAATGACTTTTTGAATACAGTTTATGAAAATAATGTTTTTGAAATATTAACTTAAAAATATTTCAAATCTTTTGCCAGGCATTGCAAAATTAGAAGAAGGGGATGAACTTCAACTTACAATACCAAGAAGAAGGGCCAAAATATCCTTGGATGGAGATGGTACTTTTTTTGGTGCAGTTAGACTCCTCTGAAGCCCTTCATTTCTGTTATTATGCTAAATGCAGTTTTCTTCTTTTGCTATGCCTTTGTCAAAAAAAAAAAAAAAAAGTGTAATAAAGCTGCCAATTCAGTTTCTCCCCATCCACCACCAGCTTCTGAGAACTTTTCTTCAGTTTAATAAGCGAACCCAAAACAGGAAACTCACCAGATATACTTGTGAGATATAACCATCATGTGATTACCAGAAAGCCAATTTATTTTAGACAATAGGAGACTAAATAACAACTGTAAGGCAAGAGTTTTTTTGGCTTTGAAACAATTTCTTTTCCATAAGGCAAATCAAAGGAGTTTACCATGCAGTATAGCATAAACAGGACCATTGACTATCAGATTATTATCCATAATTGAAAAGGAAAGTGAAAACACAACTACATCTTAAATTTGCTTTTTTTCATCAATAAAATACTTGAAGTGTAAAATACGGGGAAGAAACATCAAACAGTAGATTCCTCATCACAAAATGGAGGTGTCAGGTCGGTTCTGGGTATTTTTATTTCTTTTTTCTTTGACACCAAGATTTGGGGAAGGAAAAAGTCTAAATGCATACAATAATGAGAAGTCTAAATGTATGGGATAATGAAAACAAACTCCTCAGAAATAGACAGAATAGTAGCCACTGGCTTGCTTCTTCCCTGTGAACAAAAAGTGTATAAATTACTAAGATCTATTAGTATTTACTAATTAGAATTAATTTTACTGGAAAAAGGACATGTAAGATGCTTCAACAGCTGAACCTTCAAAGCATTTGTTACTCATTAAGGAATATGTGTACACTTCTATGTAAGCAAGGCAGAGATAGAAACATGGCGAGATTAGACACAATACAGTAGGTGGAACTGGATTTCTGGCTTCATAACTTCTGCGGGCATATATATTGATATTGTGTGTATATATATGTATATGTATATATATGAAAGTATGTACGTACACATATATAAGCCTTTGACATTTGGGCATAGAATTTTATCTTCTTGTTAATAGTTTACCCAATGGAAATATTACTGCGTACATATTATTTGTATTTCTCTTGCTTTTTGCTATGATCCATTCTATGTGATACAGTAAAAAGAAGAATCCAATAAACCTGGAACCAGCCATACAACTAAGAAAATACATTTGTAACCAGAAATCTGGGCTCAGTCTCTAGGTTAACTATAGGCTTTTTCTGCAGTTTTGAACTCTGTTTTACAAAAAAAAAATCAGACCTGTAGAAAGACTAAATAGAGGTCTTTTTTTTCTTCTCTTTTGTGTCTGCTTTGTTCAGTAGATAAGATTTATGTCTTTTTTACCCCAAGAATCCATGTGTATTGCGTGGTGAAGGTAATAGCATGGTAATAGAGTGATAATAGTGTCGTCAAGACTTTTAGGAGCTATTGTAATACAAACATTGAATATTTATTCCACTGATGTTTAAAAAAAGTATTGAAGTGCTACTGGAATAGACAAAATAATAAAACCCACAGTAATGAACTGTACTTCATTTGAAAATATTTTGTAAGGGTTGGGAATTGTGTCATATAAGCTCATTTAGTAAAGAAAGATGCTTTGTATATTGCAGTCTCCTTGTCTGTTTTTATAAGTCATGCCGATTTGATTGCATTCTCATGGTGACAGATAATAAATAAATGAGATTTGGAGATAGGAATTACAGACTGTGGTAAACTAATGAAACAATTAATTCAACTTCTCTGGGCTTCAGGAAGGCATTTCAGCAATAAGCATATGCGTATTGGATTGCCACACTGGGATTTTTATGAGGCTTAACTACAGTTTCAAAATATCTGGAAGTCCTCCTTATAAAAAAATTATTTATTTATGTGTCCTGGAGCCGAAGCTGCTGCTACTACTTTTCCTTCTTTTCCTGCTTTTCCTGCTTCCTCTTCTTCTTCTTCTTCTTCTTCTTCTTCTTCTTCTTCTTCTTCTTCTTCATCAACTTCAATATGCTAAATTTGCCAAAAAGGCATTCTAAATCCTCTACAGGAAGCCTCAATTTAGCCAAAGGTTGTGTGAGGCTGCATGTAGATAAAACAATTATTCGCATGCAGTGAGTTGTCTGTTATTACTGATTCACATTAACGAGATGCCCAGAATCTCAAATCAGAAGCTTGTTGATTTTAGCGTTGTCTGATTATAGAAAAAACATTTTGTTTCTGTTGCTTTCCTAGAGACTTGATGGCTAAACTTGCAGATTTAACTTTTGGTATGCAAGTTTCCCTCAGTGTTTTCAGTGGGCTTGTGTGTGCCTAGCTCAAGCCAATTCTGAAGGTATTCTGAAGCCTTCTGAAGGCACCTTAGAAAGTGTAGCTTTGATACAAGCAGACACAATGTAATAGTTTAAACATATAGTATATAGCAAAAATTCTGTGAAGCTAAATCAATTATCACTGCCCCTTTTCCTTGCCGTATTTCTTCCTTCTGCTACTGGTGAATATGAACAGCACAAAAGTTTGGAAAGTTTGGGGTATGGTGTGGCTTAGAGGAAAACTTTTCTGGGCAAAAAGACTTCGAAAGTGTTCCCTTCCTTTAGTAGGATGAAACTGAACCTCAAGTTTCTTCACAAAAAAATGTGAACCATGAGAACTCCCACATGTGTGCAGAGGGTGCAAGTTGACAGACTGTTCAGATATTTCTACTGACAAAGCTGGCAATTTTGTTGTTGTTGGATTAGTTTTCTGCTGGCTTCATGAGAAAAGTTGTCTTCTCAAAATTAATCTGCTTCTGCACAAAGTTGAGTTTTAACAGATCAGTATTTTCTGACCAAAGTAGGAAGAAAAGGAGAATACCTCATTCCTGATGGTTCTGCTAACAAACTGGTGATACATGAGGTAGCAAAGTGCATCCAGACCGCAATCATGCTTCTGCGTCAGTTCGTGGGAGTCACTGAAACTTTCTGCGTTTGATAAATGTTATTTAAATAAGTGTGATAGGTAATAAGTAGTATCTAGTTGGTTCATACCATATTTTACATTCTTTTTAAGGACATCTAGCATTTAATATAGGTTTCTGCAAATGAAACAAACTGTGTGAATACTCTGGTTCTTTTTCATGTGGTGCTGAGCAGCATCACGGCAAACATAAGGGACTTGAACATTTTCTTTCCAGTACATTTTCACAGAAAGTGTGAGCTTGTATAATTCTTTTGGGTTTTTGTTTGTTTGTTTGTTTTGTTGTTTTTTTTTTTTTAATAATGTGCAGTTGGCAGATATATACCTGCTTTGAAACATGTAGTTTGTATCTTAAAAATGAAAATATGTCTGTTATATAATGTGCAGTCACACACCCTACCGACTCATTACATGGCTCTCCTGCCTCTGGCTGTTTCTTGAATTGCTCAGCATTTGCCATTGTAAGACCTTAATTTCAGTTGTACCGTAGTTTTGCCAAGCTTACACAGCTGGAGTTGAGATTTTCTGTATCTCTGGTTTATGTCTTAGGTTAACTTGTCTTGGATAACTTCTGCCCCCAAAGTTCTACTCTTCTAAGGATGAGGGTAGGGAAAATACATTGTTTAGATTTTATTGTAATGATTTGGCTACTTTTTCTTTGCAAAGGTTTAAAGACTCTACGCTTTGAAAGAAGAAATGTATGCAATGTGGGTTTTGCTTTGTTTTCATCATGGTTTTTTTTTTTCTTCCTTTCTTGTGCACTCATATTTTGACAAGGTGTATACTTTTGAAGAATATTTTATGCTTTCCCATGTTAAGCATATTCTATCTCTATGGAACTTTTAAAAGGGAAAGGAAAAGATTCCCAGCAGTTTTGTCTCTTGGCTGAGTCCATGGATTACCACCATCACTAAGATCTAAGGTTGTTTTTCAAGGTCAGTCCAAGCAGCAGTGAGAAGGAAGTTGATGCAAACATAGGGAAGAGGTAAGCTAAATATTTGATGTAGAAAGGATCTCATGGAGTTTGCAGGCTACATAGAGCTTAGGGGTGATTGGGGAAACTAACCAGATTAGGAGTTGGACTGCAGAAATTGAAGAGACCCTAACTCGGATTTGATTGCTTGTGAAGTGGGGAGAAATGCAAGGGCATGAAATGGACTGGCAGTGAAAAGCCTGGGAACTAAGTGAAGTTCGGCAAAGATAGCAGGATAGTGGAAAAGGGCCAAGGGCTCCTGGGGGAAAGCGAGCTGAAGGCAAGTCTGCAGTGAGCCCTGTCAGAGACCAAGGCTAAGAGCATACTGCTCTGTATTAACAGGAGTGTCACCAGTAGGTTAAAGGAAGGGGTTATTCCCCTGTTCTTGGCCCCTTTCAGAGTGTATTTGGGATCCTGCATCCAGGTTTGGACACGCTACACCCCAAATACAAGAAAGATAGTGAGAAACTTGAGGGAGTCCATTGGTAATGCAAAGGGGCAGTTGGGGTAGAGCACATGCCTGCCCTTTGAGGAGGGGCTGAAGGAAATGCGTTTGTCCAGCCTGGAGAAGAGGCTTGGGGGGTCCTAACAGCAGTCTTCCAATACCAGTTAGGACGTAGTCAAGAAAACAGAATCATACCCTTTGAGAGGTCCACGGTGGTGTGAGAAGAGACAATAGGCACAAATCAAATTGGGAAGTTCGTATTTGACATAAAGAAAAAATTATTACCATGGTGTCGCAGTCCATTTGGATCTCTCAAATTTACAGGTCAACGTACTCTGTAAATTAAACTTAATTTTATAAGCTTATTAGGAAAGAAAACAAATACGACAAACAAGGGTTCAATCCCCTTTGTACAGACTAGTATAACATGAATTCACTAATTCATCTCTTAAATCATGAACTTTCTAACTCACAAGCTCTCTAATTCATAACTCGCAACTCATAGCTTATAATTCATGCACCTATGGGCAAAAAAGTTACCTAGCTGACAGGGAGAGCATTCATCCTTCCTCCTCTGTCATGGTGCGGGTGTCCCCAGTACCACACTGGGAAGCATGAAAGCCTCAGGAGTCCAGCTGCTGTTGAATCTGCCTCAAAAGCTTTTTGGGTAAGTGAACGTACTTACACCTTCCAGCCATGAGTTAGCAGGTTATGAAGAAACTGCCAGACAACCAATACACAAGGATGATTGCTGCAGGAGACAGCAAGCTGCAGGTGAAAAGAGCTATATAATGACTGTCATGGTTTAGGCCAAATTGGCTACTGGGCTGTGGGGCACCCCAGATGGGACCGACAGATGCTCCCCTCTACTCCTCTTCTAAGAGAGAGGCAGAGGAGGGAAAAAGAGACTTAGGAGTTTAGAAGGAACTAAACTACTTTAATAAAATATTAATAATAAAATTAAAAGGGAATAATGAAATATATACAAAACCATATCAAGCCCCCAGGATGACAATCATGTCACCGGCTGGCACTGGGGAATTCCCAGACTGGACCCAGTGATGGACGGGAACTGGATTCCAGATCTGGATTCAGGATCGGG